GGTAATGTCTCTGCTTTTTGGTATGCTGTCCAGATTTGACATTGTTTTCTTCCAAGGAAACAAGTATCTTTAATTTCATGGCTGTAGTAGCCATCTGCAGGGATCTTTGAGCCCAAGAATATAAAATCCAACACTGTTTCCATTTTTTCTCCTTCTATTTGCCAGGAAGTGACAGGACCAGTTGCCAAGATCTTCAGGATTTTTTTTTGTTTGTTTTGTTTTGTTTATTTTCTTGTTTAAGCTAGCTTTGTGCTCTTCTCTTTTACCCTCATCAAAAGGCTTTTTAATTCCTCTTCACTTTCTGTATTCAGAGCGGTATCATCTACATATCTGAGATTGTTGATGTTTCTCCTGGCAACCTTAATTCCAACTTTTGATCCATCCAGACTGGCATTTGATATGATGTACTCTGCATGTAAGTTAAATAAATAAAATGACAACATACAGCCCTGTCGTACTCCTTTTCCAATATTAATCCAATCAGTTGCTCTGCGTTTGGTTCTGACTATTGTTTCTTCCTCAGCGTACAGATAAGTTCCTCAGGAGACAAGTAAGATGACCTGGTACTCTTATCTCTTTGAGAATTGGCCACATTTTGTTGTGATACGTACAGTGAAAGGCTTTAGTGTAGTCAATCAAGCAGAAATACATGGGGTTTTTTTTCTGGAATTCCCTTGCTTTCTCCATAATCCAACAAAAGTTGGCAATTTGGTCTCTAATTCCTCTGCCTCTTCAAAAACCAACCTGTTCTTCTGGTAATTCTCAGTTCACATATTGCTGAAGCCTAGTTTGAATAATCTTAAGCTGACCTTACTGGTATGTGAAATGAGCATAATTGTGCAGTAATTTGAACATTCCTTGGCATTTCCCTTCTTTAGGATTAGGACATAAACTGATCTTTTCCAATCCAGTAATCACTGTTATGTTTTACAAATTTGCTGACATATTGAGTGCAGCACTTTAACAGCATCATCTCTTAGGGTTTTAAATATCTCAATTGGAATTCCATCACCACCATTAGCCTTATTGTTAACAATGCTTCCTAAAGCCCACTTCACTTCATTCTCCAAGACATATGGCTCGAGATAGTAACAACATCAGTGATGTTTCTTCTACAATTTTTTGTGGATTCTTGCCACCTCTTCTTAATCTCTTCTGCTTCTGTTAAATCCCTGCCATTTTTGTCTTTTATCTTGCCCATTTTTGCATTAAACTTTCTCTTGATAGCTTTAATTTTCTTAAAAATATCTCTTGTCTTTCTCTTTCTATTATTTTCTTCTATTTATTTGCATTGTTCATTTAAGAAAACCTTATCTCTCCTTGCTATTCTCTAGAATTCTGTATTCAGTTGGATATAGCTTTCCCTTTCTCTTTTAACTTTTGCTTTTCTCCTTTCCTTAGCTATTTGTAAAGCCTATCAGACAGCCATTTTGCTTTCTTGCTTTCTTTTTCTTTGGAATGTTTTTTGTTGTTTCTTCCTGTACAATGTTGCAAACCTCTGTCCATAGTCTTCATACACTCTGTCTACCAGATCTAATCCCTCAAATCTATTCATCACTTCCACATTATATTCACAATGAATGTTTTTTAGGTTATACCCATATGGTCTGATGGTTTTTCCCTACTTTCTTCAATTTGTGTGAATTTGCAATAAGAAGTTTATGATCTGATCCACAGTCAGCTCTAGGTCTTGTTTTAATCAATTGCATACAGCTTCTCCTCTGGCTACAAAGTATATAATCAGTCTGATTTCTATATTGACCATCTGCTGATGTCCATGTGCAGAATCATCTTTTGAGTTGTTGAAAAGGAATGTTTGCTATGACTGGAAAGTTATCTTGACAAAACCCTATTAGTCTCTATCCTATTTCATTTTGTCCTCCAAGGCCAAATTTGCTGTTATTCCAATTATCTTTTGATTTCCTACTTTTTTTTTTTTGGCTAGGCAATGGATTAAGTGACACACAGCTAGTGTTATGTGTCTGAGGCCAGATTTGAACTCAGATCCTCCTGAATCCAGGGCCAGTACTCTATCCACTGTGCCACCTTGATTTCCTACTTTAGCATTCCAATCCCCTATGATGAATATAGTAACATCTTTTTTTGGTGTTATTTCTAAAAATATTGCAGGTCTTTATAGAAATGATCAACTTTGGCCTCTTCAGCATTAGTAGTTGGAGCACAGACATATTACTATGATGTTGAACGGTTTGCCTTTGATATCAAACAGATATCAGTCAGTCATTTTTGAGATTATATCTCAATATTGCCTTTCTCGTCCTTTTATTGAAGGTGAGAGCTACTCCATTTCTTCTAAGGGATTCTTGCCCATAGCAGTATATGTACTGATCATCTGTATTAACTTCACCCAATCCCGTCCATTAAATTCACTGACACCAAAGACGTTGATGTTTAAATTTTCCATCTCCCGTTTGACCACATCCAGCTTACCTTGATTCATAGATCTTACATTCCAGGGTCCTATGCAATATTGATCTTTACAGCATTGAACTTTGCTTTCATCACCAGACACATCCACAGCTAAGCGTCCTTTTGGCTTTGGCCCAGCTGCTTCATTAGTACTGGAGCTACTTGTAGTTGTCCTCCTCTCTTTCCCAGTAACATATTGGAAACCTTTCAACCTGAGTGGCTCATCTCTTATGTCATCTTTTTTATCATTTTAGTACTATCCATAGGATTTTCTTAGCAAAGATATTGGAGTGTCATTTCCTTCTCCAATGGATCACTTTTTGTCAGAATTCTCCACTATGACTTGTTCATCTTAGGTAACCCTGCACAGCTTAGCTCATAATTTCATTGAGTCTCTTCTGCTATGACAAGGCAGTGATCCAGGGAAGGTTTCAAATACCAACCCATGTTTAATCATGCACTCTGCCTGTTTCTCTCCAACTAGAGAATCCCAGTTCCTTTGCTTTTATGAAAATAAACACAGACCCACATATCCAGGGCTGAAAGTAAATCATCATGATACCAAGAAGGAATAAAATATAATCTCTCTTTCTTTGACTTTCCATTTGGTTTTATTTTGGTTTCTATAGAAAGAGTGGGAACTACTTGAACATATCTTTTGCAAGGAAGGGAGCATATTGATGATACTTTAAATTTGTAAAACACATTCACTCAACATTTTCACATTTGATTCTCTGAAGAGCTTCACCTCTAATCCCTCAACTATTCTATATTCTCCTAGCCCTCCATTCCCAGGACTGTGGTCTCTTGCTTCCCAAACCAGACCATAGTCACCCATTTAATTGAAGGTTTCCTACTACCTGAGATTCCCTCATGCTTTGGATCTTTTCTCTTTCTTCACTCAGTGCCCAGTCTTTGGTAACTCACACCATCCCCTCTTTCTCCCAGGATCCTCATTGTGTTGAAGTCACTAATCCCTTTGAATTTTATCCATTATAAACTTACTCCGATGAAATCACAGGTCCGGACCCCAAAAATGGATTTATGCAATCTCACATCAAGTAATTCTTTGATGTTGCAAGAAAATCCATTACATATCATTTATAGACTCCCTAATATAATTCATATAAGAGCTACTCCATATTTTCAACCTCTTTCCTTTTCTTAAGTACCTATGCTTTCTGTTAAGTCAAGCTATGGGGCTTGGTGGCACAGTGAACAGAGGCCTTGGAGTCTGGAGTCAATAAGACTTGGTTCACATCCAGACTCAGATACTTTAACCAATCAGCATTATTAAGCACCTACTATGTGCCAGGAACTATGCTAAGCACTAGAGGTATAAAAAGAGGGCCAAGACAGTCCTTGCCTTCAAGGAGCTTCTGATCTAGTAGGAGACTACAGGCAGACAAATACATTCAAAGCAAGCTATATTAGCAGGATAAATAAAAAATAATCAACAGAGGAAGGGCACTATAATTAAGAGAGGCTAGGAAAGGTTTCCAGTAAAAGAAGAGATTCTAGTTGAGAATTTAAGGAAACTAGGGGGCTCAGTAGGTAAAGGAGAGGAGGGAGAATGTTCCAGCCATGTAGCATAGTCAGAGAAAATGCCCAGAACTGAGACATGAAGTGTCTTGTTCATGGAACATCTAGGTGGCCAGTGTTACTGGATCAAAGAGTATACATCAAGGAGTAAGATGTAAGGGAACCAGAAAGCTAGGAGGGTGCTAGGTTATGAAGGGCTCTGAATGCCAAACAGAGCATTCTGTATCTGATTCTAGAGGTAATATAGAGTCACTGGAGTTTATTGAATGGGGAATGGTGTGGCATGATTGGACCTATGCTTTAGGAAAATTATGTTAGTGGCTGAATAGAGGATGGATTGAAGCGGGGACAAACTTGAGGCAAACAGATCCACCAGTAGCTATTGCAGTAATCCAGGGTGAGGTGATGAGGATCTACACTAGAGGGGTGGCAGTAGCAGAGGAGAGAAGGGGCATATTCAAGAGATGTTACAAAAGCAAAATCAACAAGCCTTGGATACAGAGGATGAGAGATCTCGAGGAGTTAGGATGACTCCTACTTTGTGAGCCTGAGGTACTGAGAGGATGATATTACCCTCTATGGTAATAGGAAGGTAGAAAGGGGATAGGCAAGGAGGGTTTAGGGAGAAAGAAGTATGACTTATTAGATATGTGACCTTGGGCAAGTCACTTAACCTCTGTCTGCCTCAGTTTCCTCAACTCTAACATGGGGATTATAACAGCATCCACCTCATGGGGTTGTTGTGAGGATCAAATGAGATAATATTTGGAAAGCACTTAGCATAGTTATTGGCATAGAGCAGCACTTAATGAAGTTTTATTCCCTCTCCTCCCTACTACCACCATCATTCCTACAACTGACTTCACCTTTCTCTTTCTTGAGAACACTGGTCTTATTGATTGATTGGTTGATTGAGTATGTTCTGTCTCTTATTTAACCACGAAACTTTTAGAAGGTATACTCACAGCCTCTCCTTTCTTACCATTTTCTGGACCTCTTGCAAGCAGATTTAAGTTCTCACCTTCTGCTGAAATTGCTTTCACAAATGTCCCCAATGATCTGCTCCTGGAATAATTCAATGAATTCTTCCCAGTTCTCATTGTTTTACAACAGCTGACATTTTTAACCACCTGAAAATGATGGTGAGAATCTTGGACTTAGTGTCAGGGAGACTTGATATTTACAATATCAAATCTGATATTTACAAGCTGTGTGACCATGGGCAAGTCACATAACTTCTCTAAGCTTCAATTTTCTCATGAACAAAGCCTGTTGTGCCTTCCTCAAAGGGTTATTGTGAGGTTTAGATGAAATAATGTACAGAAGTTGTTCTGAACATTTTGAAGTGTTATTTAAATATTTGTTACCGTTATTTCTATTCTCTACCTTCTTTGTTTTCATGACACCACATGCTCTGAAATCTATTCATATTTCTTTAAATGTCTTTTCCATGGTCCACATTTTAGCATGCTAAAGTCCTGTCACTGGTCATCTCCTCTCCTGACTCTGTCTCTTCACCTTTCCCTCCCTTGGTAACTTCATTTAGTCCATAATTTAAACTTTCATTTCTATATGGCCAATTCCCAAATGTTGCTCTCCAAATGATCTCCAAACTCCTGAGTTCCAGGCCCAAATTTCAATTTCCTTATAGCACATATCCAATATCCAACTGGATCCTGCCCCAACCCCAACAATCCCTACATCTCTGTCTCAACATGTCTAAAACTAAATTCATCATCTTTCTTCTTAACCCTTTTCTCCTACCTATCTTCCTTATCTCTGACAATGGTATGACTAGTTTTCTATTCAGTCATGCTCATGATTTGGATGTCATCTTTGACTCCTCCCCCATCTTGGCACCATACTTCCAATTAGGCAGCAAGTGCTATAGATTCTATCCCCGAAGTATTTCTGGCAACTATCCTTTCTCTCTATCTCACTGCCCTAGCCTAGTTCAAGCCCTCATTGCTTTTTGTCAGAACTGCTGAAATAACCTCCTGAAAGTCCTTATTTCAGGACTCTCTCCCCTCCAAAGCATCCTACATTCCTACCAATCTAATTTCTCTCTGGATTCTATTTCTGTCCTTTCTGATTTCTCCACCTCCACCTCAGCAGCCTCCTCTCCCTGGAAAATGCCTCCACTCCCTCCTCTATTTGGTGAGTTGCTCTCTAGAACTGCCATTCGAGGAAGTGCTCAAGCCAGCCAACATTCACTTCTTTCTCTGCTCCACTTCTGACTTTCTGGACCAGGGGTTGGGAATCTGTGGCCTCAAGGTCCCATATGACCTTCTAGGTCCTCGGGTGCAGCCTTATGACTGAGTCCAAGTTTTACAGAACAAATCATTTTATTAAAGGGATTTGTTCTGTGAAGTTTGGATTCAGTCAAAGGGCCACACTTGGGGACCTAGAGGGTCACACATGGCCTTCTGGCAACATGGTCACAAAGAGTTCTTTCAATTCTGAAACTACATAATTCAATGAACTAAGATTCTGGAGGAGGACTCTCATCCCTAGTAGAAGGGATCCAGTTCCCAAAGAACAAAGTATGGGGCATGGCACTGATCCAGGAGCTTGGATATAGGGAAATAAGACAAGGATTGGGATCAGGCAAGTCTGGGGGTAGGCATGGCATTCATTATAAGACAGAAACTGTGGTACAGCGAAAAGAATGCTGGCTTCACAGTCATGGGATATAAAGTCATCCCTAGCTACTATACTTACTCCCCATCTAACATAGGACAAGTCTCTTTGGCCTTCATATGTAAAAGGAGGGGATTGAATGAGATGGCCTCTATGTCCCTTCTGTCTCTAAATCTATGATCCAATGAGACCTCTAGACTTCAGTTTCCCCATCTGTAAAATGAGAGGGTTGTACAAAAAGACTTCTAAGTTCTCATCTCGCTCAAAATCTATGATTTAATAATCTCTGGGTCAAAGGGTATGAACATAGCAAGAGCTTAGTTAGGAGAACTAAGATAGAAAGTCAGGGAAGGGCCAGTAATCATGTTGATTTGCAACTGATCCATTAAGTTTCGATCTGAAAATCTTTCTATTTCCCCTGCTCCGTGGGAGCTGAGGCTTCATGCGAAGGGTAAGTGGTCCCAACTGTGGATACTAGAATGATTCAGGATCAAGGGCCCAGCTGGTCATTATAGCTTTCTGTATCAAGAGGGAGGTTTCAATGAATGATCTCCAAAGTTAATTCTGTACCTAAGAATCTATAATTCTGAAAATTTCTGACCTAGTAAGCAAGCTATCTGAGGCATGGGAGGACCAGTCCCTAAAAGCAAACCAGATAGACAACCACTTAAGCCTCTGTTCATTAGTGGTCTTCTTGCCGCAGGCAGAAAGGGAGAAAAGGAGAAAGGGGAGAAACCCTAAATTTTGAGGTCTAACATTAAGAGTTCTACCCTTCAAAAGGCCTTCATTTGCACTTTGAGAACTTTCCAAATGAGTAAGCAGCAAACTTTCTCACTTTTTCTGTGTGAATCTGAGGATGACATTATTTCAATGAGAACTTTCTGCTGATCTTTTTTAGGTGCGGTTTTTGCATCTAGGCCTGCCTGTTTGAGTGATGAGACAGAACACACTTTATAGCGGAAATTTAGCAAATATGATAGCAAAATTTAGCAAAGATGAATCAGAGATTGAAGAAAGAAGTTTGCACAGCTTGTTTTAATGGATATTTACATAGTGCTTTACAATTTGCAGAATGAATTTATGTACATTATGTTAATTAGAGCTTCACAACAACCTTATGACCTAGGCTTTACAGATTTTGTTATCTTCATTTAACAGATGGAGAAACTGAGGCTCAAAAAAAGGGGGGCAGCTAGGTGGCACAGTGGATAGAGCACTGACCCTGAAGTCAGGAGGACCTGATTTCAAATCTGGCCTCGGACCAAACACTTGACACTTACTAGCTGTGTGACCCTGAGTGAGTCACCTAACCCCAATTGCCAAAGAAAGAAAGAAAGAAAGAAAGAAAGAAAGAAAGAAAGAAGAAGAAAGAAAGAAAGAAGAGAGAGAGAAAGAAGAGAGAGGAGAAGAGAGAAAGAGAGAAAGAGAGAAAAGAGAAGAGAGAGAAAGAGAGAAAGAGAGAAAGAGAAGAGAGAAAGAGAGAAAGAAAGAAAGAAAGAAAGAAAGAAAGAAAGAAAGAAAGAAAGAAAGAAAGAAAAAGAAAAAGAAAGAAAAAAGAAAGAAAGAAAGAAAGAAAGAAAGAAAGAAAGAGGTGGAGCAACTTGCCCAGTATCAGGCATAGGATTTGAAAGCATGTCTTCCTGACTCTTCATTCCAATACACTATACCATGCTTCCTCACAAAGAAGCAAGAACCAGGGATTCAGAGTTCTGTGGCTAGCAATATTGAAGGCTCAGCAAGTAGATGCCCAGCTAAGTTTCCTGACTGTTCACTCCCTCACTTTGTTAGGAGCCTATCTCCTATGTATCCTTAGCAATATCACAATTTCCAATTTATACATCCTTGTCTAGCTGTAATGGAATGCAGAAAGCAATAATGCTCTCCTTCTTCATTCTGAGCCAAAACAATAACATTACAGTAAAGGGAATGGAAATGGGTTATGTGACTGAATTAAGGTGGCAGCTTTCCATTGATAAAGCAATTAAACATGTTTGACTCAAAAGTGACTTGCCTAATAACAAAGAATGACATTCCTTTTTCTCCTGCAACTGTTATACCATACTAGTTGTCAGATCTGGTATTGAGCTTAGAGTGGAGAAGGGAAAATTTTGCTTCTGACTCTCAAAGGACCTGAACAGCAGGCTTGAGAGATTCTAGAAAGAAGAGCCCTGACCCAACTGGACCAAAAGGAAAGGACCCAAGGACACAAAGGGCTTCCATTCATCCCCTCACCTCCTCACCCTCTTCTTTGGCTGCAGTTTGAGAGAACGCCTCCTCTTCTCTAAAAGCAATGCAGGAAGCATTGTAGTAGCAACGCATCCTCTCTCTCTCTCTCTGTCTGTTTGATGTGAAGAGAGAAGGGCTTACAATGCCATCATGTCAAGGTATATCCAACTGGACCCAAGAGAAGTATGAATTTCGAGAGAACTTCCCCTTTTTCTATAATCCTCATTTCAAAGTTCCGTCTCCTGAAGGACATTGCTTATAATGAGATTGAATTAACTCTCCTCAGTCTTGTTCAGACCCTACCCAATCTTATAAGGAATTTAATCCCATTGTGTTCTACTCAGATTTGGGTGGTGATAAATTCTTTTATTAGAATGTCCAAGACTGAGGGTAATTTAGAAGTAAATGACATAATCAAAGTTTACTAAAATGTGTCCAGCCCCTCACTGTAATATTCATTCTCTCATTAATTGTTAACTAATCAGAGTTGATTGCTACCTTCTGGAATGCCCACTTTTTCAAGGACATACAAACTGTGAGCCTGCCACCAAGATGGTCTTTGGCATTCTAGAGTGCTACTGACCTCTTTTATTAATAATGTGCTTTCCCTATTAATAAAATGATTAAACTACCCAGAAACTGTCTGTCAAACTTTTTAAATGTCATAGTTTACAAACTCATTCCATTGAATTTTCAGGAATTTTAGTCTATTTCTGTCTTTAGTTCTTTCTCCCTAGCAAGATTTTGTATTTCTACAGGGAAGGAGTCATGTCTGCATCAGAGGCCAGGCACAAACAGTACCAGACTTACCCCCCTGTTTAAGGGGAACTTTTGAGCACCCTCTGAATGAGAGGATTTCCAGCAGCCGGGAGCTGTGAATTACCCTTTCCACATGTGTTCAGTACATTCTGTATATACTTATGGGATAGTGTCATCAACTTTTTTGGGGGGAGGGGGGTTTATATCAATTCTTCTTCCTATACTCCCTTAGTAAACACACCTCTCTAAAAGCTACTTAAGCTTGGCTGACTAAATTAATTCTGAACTGATAATGGTGGGAAGGGGGGAAGGGGTGGAAAGACATATTGGATCAGGCTTAAGCTGATGGCATTAGAGAATCACTTCTCCAGCTTCTCCGGAATACTTCCCTAGAAGAAAGAGTTTTATCCTTACTCTGAGACCTGAGATTTATCCATGAGAGTAGGAATTGGGATTAAGATCTTTGGAATTTACAAGAGCTAACAATTCTCATGTAATATCATGT